AATTGCAACTTGGACATCAAAACAATATTATATATATATATATATATATATATATATATATATATATTTATCATTTGCCGGAATTTGTTGAAGTTGACCCCCTCATCGCCACCTAAATCGACCCTGACAATTACTCTGGTACACCTCTGGCGTTTTCACCTACTTCAGCCCCAGTGCCGCAGCACCTACTCAGCTCATCTGCCGTGATGAACCCACCCTGTCCCGATCGTAAATCTTAAATGCCTCCTGCCCGTCCTCTTCACGGTCGTTCCCTTCGTCGCCTCCGGCGTCTGCCATCACCGCCGCGTATAGGGCGCTGAACTCCTCGGCGTCCCCGTGAGCGTCAATCTTCGCGACCATCGCCTGCAGCTTCTCCTTTGGCACGCAGATCCCGAGATTCTCTAACGACTCGCTGAGCTCATCCCAGGTGATGTTTCCGTCGCCGTTAATCGAGCTTGGAGAAGACCCGATGGAGCTCCGCCGTGCCCATCTCCTCATGTGCAACCCTAATGCGAGAATTGAATGGATGATCATTTAAGTTTTCAGCCAGCAAGTTTGGGAGAGAGAGGCGAGAATTATAGAATTGATTTTGATCCGTGAGGTGATAAAGTTTCTACCCTATGACAATAATTTATTGGAAGATATTTTTGGATAATCTCGAATGTAAGTAAAAATAAATCTGCTGGAAGATATTTTAAATAATTTGGGATATATACATACTAAAATAAACTTATAGTAATCAATAGTTTCTTTAGATATTAGAACTTAGTTTTGACTGAAAATTTTCAAAATATGTTTGAGCGGGCTTTTAAAAAATTTTCAAAAAAAATTACTTAGTTTAGTAATTCTGAAATGTTTAGGTGGGAAAATAGTTACTTTTTTAGGTAAATGTCAAACCTTTTTATATTTATATAGATATAGATTTCTCCAATTACACATTAAATATAAATTTTTATTATCAATAGTGTTCCCACAATTACACATTAAATATGGCTCCTTTTATATTGTTGATATCGATC